AGTGGTACTTGGCCGGGGTACCCATTAGCAAAATCTCGGCGCTGGAACTTGCTTGGTTGCCGAATTCAAATACCCGGACAGACAAGCACACACAACACACACACACACATAAACATACACACACATACATAACACACGCAGACAGGGTCGTCCCAATATGCCCTTCTGTAATTTGCACATAGGCAAAAACGCATAACTATACCTACTGCATCAAAAGTGCCAGGGGTTTCTTTATTACGATGCCGAGAGGCCCACATCATAGCAGATGAAATCCAGAAAAGAGTAGCAGATGAAATCCAGAAAAGAGAAGTTTGAAAGCTGCTCAAGTAAGAGCTTATTATGGACAGTAACCAACCGCTGGTAAGGTTCTGGATGATTCTCTATTTTAAGGGTTGCACACAAACAAGTTAATGGAGAACTCCCGACAGTCAGACATAAGCGAGTGCCAATTTACTATAGGAGAGAATAGTAAAGAAAATATTTTTACTATCGGCAGAAAAAAATAGACAATTCCATTTCCAAAGTAACGTTACTTGCCACATACACCAAGCGCGCTACTAGCACATATCGCTACGAAGCAAAGTATGAGAAAGCCAAAACGCTTTTTTGTTTACAAAAAAAAAATGACTGCTACATGCTAGAAGGCTTTCAGTAGCCAAGCTATGAAATGGTTACAGCTGCGCAGAGGGAGTAATCACGCAGATCAATAATGATGAAAAACCTACCGGAATGGACTGTGAGCATCACTTGTGGTAATCTCCAACTGATCGCTGGCTCCGCGACTGTAATCCAGTTGAACCTGAGTTCGATAGTAGTTGGACGACGAGCAGTGTTGCGTTACTCCGGAGCAGAAACATGGTATGCAGCCCTGTGGATTGCTTGCCGACATATAGAAACTGTTCGCTGGACACTGGTCGCACAATGCACCTGTTGCATAGGTTTTACACTGACACTGACCACCGTATGCAGGCTGCGTGCTCAAAGCACCTGCTGCTGAGCACTGGGGGTAGCGTTGAGCGGGTACACATGTGCCCAGATACGGTCCCTGACGCGAACGCTCGTATCCTGGGGCGCACTCCTCGCATGATAATCCGGTATAACCTGTAATAAACAATCTTGCGCGGTTCTCAAAGCATAATTCAATAATTGGCCAACGCACGGACTGCCCGTGCGAAGATGCGTTTTTTGCATAACTCCCCGCAGATTTTTGTCCCTAACGGCACTAGTTTTCCGGCAGATGCTTCTAGCTAAAAAAATTTCAGACTGGCCGCCAGAACTGTCAGCACCTTCTCGAGTTAGCAACTTACCCGGAAGAAACTTCCACAGGCCCGTACGTAGGTATCACGCTTATCGCGGGCAGGGTTTGAACTCGTTAACACCCACTTGGACAGGGAACATCCCCCTAAAATTTCAGCGTTCTAGCTTCTCAGATCCCCGAGTTGTGAACTTATCCGGAAAAAATTTTGGCTGACCCGTACGCGGGTACCGCGTCTAGCCAGGGGATGAGTTTTAGTGCACTAACACCTACTTGGGCGAGGAACATCCCCCTAAGATTTCAGCGTTCTAGCTTCTCAGGTCCCCGAGTTATGAACTTACCCCAGAAAAACTTTGGCGGGCCAACACGCGAGTACCACGCTGGTGATGGCGCCCATTTTGAGGATTCGACATGTGAATGTGTTCCCGAAATTTCAGCCTTGCAGCTTTTATGGGTTATGAGATGAAAGCGCGTGACAGACGCACACACTGACACACAGGCACACGAACACACAGACAACCCCTCGTCAATATGCGTTTTTGCATTGCATAGCTGCAAAAAACACATAAAAAGAAAACTTGAAAGATGGTGCAGGATAAAAAGCAAACCTGGTGGACAAGAGCACTGCTCCACTTCGAGAGCCAGCCTTTCCTGGGTGTCGCGATTTACCGCCACTTCCCAACTTACGTCGCCAAGACTAAAAAACACCATGATAATTACAAGCTTCTAAATGCTAATCGAGTAAAGAAGGAAGAGAGTATTGGATAATGAACTTAATAAGGGACCTTGTAGATTGCTGTCCATGGCAATGAGAGGCCCGAATGAGCATCGTGTCCAAATTAGCAAGTGCCATCATCAGACTTTCCCGCGTCGCTGGCCTTCCATCTGACTCCTCGTAATTCCCCTAAAACGATTTATAATAACAACGAAACAAAACCAAACAATGATGCAACTGTTCTAAGATTTTTCGAGTGTTTTTAATACATCTTTTTGACGGCAGCACAAGCTGCAGGAACTGAGTGGATATTTGCATTTGTTCCGCATTTTGTCAGCACATCTTCAATCTACACTTCTTCCAAACCATTCGCCAATTACTGCATGCGGATTTTTAGTCTGCTCCATCCGTAAAGCTGTCTGGTAAGAAATGAACCATCTCTTGCACGGAAATGTAATGCGTATGAAACGAAACTACAAGGCATAACATCTAGTTAATAAGCAGTCTTGCAAGCGCTGAAAATTTACGTTAAAGTCTGATTTTTTAATGCAATAACTTCAGATCGATCGACTCTGGTTAGTACTATATGACTGTAATCTAGAACTCTTGCGAACATATTACTGAAAAAATATTAGGGCTACTTAACCCCTCCGAGACTTACACGGTTTCTCTGACCAATATATGCAAATAATTGCTTCTCTTTTGCGCTTCTTCGAGCTCCGTTTTAATTTGACTATAATTTTAAATGTCCTCATTCAGCTTCCGTGTAATGTATTTGCAGAAAAGAAAGAACTCCACTTTTTAAATTTTATCTCTTCCCTTTATAACATTTTCATAGCTGCGGAGAACCTCGGACTCAGCAGGCCGAGATTGAGCGCGTTTAGCTCATTTTGCACACTTAAAGTCCTTATCAAAAGACGCATTTGTAGTTTCGGCTGATATTTGTTCCCAAGCTTTTCTGTTTTATCACTTCACTCCTCTCAATTAACTTCTCGGGGTCTTTGCGCAGATTTGCTATATGCAGCATCCTTTTTCCTGGACCCGGAAAGTGATGCATATTCTTGCTCATGGCAAGCTGAAGTAGTGTTCCTGTCCTACAGGAAAATTTTCGAAAATGTGTCAAACATCGGCCAGGCTAAATTCATCGCTTTTCTGCACCTTTCCGGAACCAGGTATTGCTAACAAATAGTTTGTTCGTCGCAGTCACTGTGACTACCCAGTTACCTCTATAGTTCAAGTCAGTGCGTGTTTGCCGACATAATTTTCGGCATCCTTTTTTCTTTACTTAGGCTTTGCGCTGGAGTCTTGCACAACGACCGTACATGTGAACTTAATGGTAGATTTAAACATGGTACAGAATTCTTCTCTTTGATGGACATGGTGCGATTGAAACCATGTAGAATTTGAGAATTTTTTTAACACCTGAAGAACATTAAACAGTTTCACAACGAGTGAAACTAACAAGAGCTAATTAGTGAGGGATATTTTCTAATGAGAGTAAATTACACCTCTCCAACATTTTTTTTTTTTGCACTTGAGCAAGTTCGCATGCACCCGGTTCACCGCGTTTCTTATAAAGTGAAAAAGACACATGATGTTCTGTCATTTTCCTGGAGAAGATGGTTCTTGTGCTCATCCTTCGATAACGGGTCACATTATTACAGGTATTGAAGGGTTCAGGATGTTCCGTGGCGGTATCCGCCCAGCACCTGAGATTCTTAACAGCCACTTGTCCTGCAGTTACCGATCCGTTGCGAAAGCTGGGATAACGCAATGCTTACCTCATAAGTATCAACGGTATATCGAATGTTTCGATCTGAAGCGAAACTGCTCGTATCACGAGGTCGGTGCATCAGTGTTACGCCATTACCCTGAAATCACAGCTCAGTGCCGACAATTCTGAAGAAACGATTCAGAAAACGGATAAGCTTTCACTTCAAATAACAGATAGTGCTTCACTTTCTCAAATATGGAAGTTTTTTTATAAATGGTTACTTGCGTTAGGAGGCAGACATGTTGCGTGTTTTTGCAAAATATGTTACCATTTCGTCGAAGCAGAGGGCAGCTTTCCGCTTTGATGGATCAAAATAAAAACCCAGGCTGGAACGCACCGGGCGGGCCCGTGCGATCATGCGTTTTTGCACCGGACTTG